GAGAAACATTGAAGAAATGTTATCTATCCTAGGCGGTGGGAATTTGATATGCCTCAAACCAAGCTTTGCTTTCCTGCGGCACTTGTGCTCTCCAGTCCCCACCCCTTCCATGATTTTACCTAGAAACAGCATGTGTCCGGGCTAGCCCGCCCTAGCACCCAAGTCTGCTACCTGATGCTGCTGGCAGAGGCTTTTTCGCACCTATCTCACATTTGACCCACCCTGCTAGGAGGAGCCAGGGCTAAGATCGTTTGTTTTCACCTAGGTTGTATAGTGTTGAGTTACGGATTTGGTCGTATTGGCTATACGAGACCGTACGCACCGCCGCAGCAAAGGGGTGTACCATCCTCGAATAGCCTATCATACTAACGGTGTCGCACTAGGGTAGGGGGACATTAACCGGATCCGGTAGGGATATTTTTTTGGCTGGTTAAGGTCTATAACTCCTCCACAACGGAGTTTTTAACGATAATCTGAAGGTGAGTTATCTGGCCGAAGGACTGAGGTGAGTCTTTTCTTTTATATAGTGAGTCATTACAGCAAGCCACGAATGAACACTGAAATAGCATGAGATTTGGGTATCGGAATGTATTTGGACTATCCCATCATGATATGTCACCCAAGGCGCTACTTTATTCACACTTATAAAGAATGAGAGGCAAGCATTACCTCACAAACGCACCTGAGTTCTCGAATGTATCGCTCTTGGATGCGGTTCACCGTCTATTATTATCTTGTGGGAAAATGCCAAAACGCCAAAAAAAAAAAAATTCTGTCCCCGTGCCAACCCTCCCATGCCGTATTTTATAATATAGCCACAAGTGCCTTAGAATCCCAGGGCTTAAGGCTTAGCCTCTATCCCGTTACTTAAGTGTCCCTCTATTGTAGGTGATCCCGTGCAGCGAAGATCTAAATCTCAGCAAAAGAGCAAGTGATTTGCATGGACAGTCAAAGAAAAATACTATTGATTAGAAAACTACTTGTTTCATGTGTTCGCATACAACCCCAATCTGCATGAAAACACCCAAGCTTTCAGTAAATCACCCGCAATGCTTGAGCATCCATTCTCGCAGGATCTTTAGTGTGAAGCGCACAGGTTTAGTTTCAGTGACGAAACAATTAACTTCATCACCCAACCTACTAAGAATTAAAAAGCCACCCCACCGGTGGATACGCACTCTACTCAAGTGGAGAGGAATGGATGGTCTCTCAGGAGACAATGCACTCAAAACCTCCTCTTAATATACAATACTTTACTAAATTTTTCCCCTAGCAAGTAGAGCACGCACCATTACAGAAAGTCGAATCTGTATGCCGACAGGGGAGCTATAAGGCGTTCGAGAGTATGCTCCATTATGTACTTCGTGATTGGAGGAACTATGCATCGGGCATTCTACTCCGTGACCAACCTTCCCCCGATAGGAAAATCCCCGAGACAAGGTGCATCGATCTGGTGAGGGGCGTCCGGGTAGTAAAAGAATCCCCACCTATTCGAGCGTCAATACCCCCCGCTCCGTCCACTCCTAGCCTAGGACGAGCACCGGCGCTCCTAGCTGGACGACAGTTGTGATCACGGCTGTTATCACATACCACCAAAACCCAGCTTGCCCGCCCAGATCTCGGTGCTGCGGGAGTGCTGGTGCCCACAATGGCCCTTCAATTACCAGTAGAAAGAAAAGCAATCGGAGAACCAAAAGTTCAGAAAGACGGGTGCCGATCTTCTCCAGAGCCATGAGATGCATCGACCAGATCAAAATCCTGGCCCCCCCTTCCAGTATTTTTGGCCGGGGCTGTTGACTACTTTGGAGAGCAATTCAGTCAATTGCTCACCCAAACTCTTTAAGAGGTCAGCCGCCTAGGCAAATGTCTGACGTCTCTATCAAGGCCTAAAAGACAGCTCGATACGGTAAGCTAGGTAGGGTGAACTCCTCTTCCAGTTCAATCAATCCATTTTAACCATATATCAACAGTACCTTCGATCCGATATATGGCCTAAACTGTACTATAGCTAGGTGAGCAAACCCCCTCCCGCCTGTCATCAAGTTTTAACATTCAAGCAAGCTAGGATGTTCCCTAGAAGCTAGTATATCCACGGCATATTCAATCAAAAACTAGGGGGAATTTTCCGTTCTCCTTCAACCGTCCTCTCCGGGTATGGTCGCCAGGCGCATATTGTGAAGCAAACTATAGGTATTTACAAGACATTATCACTTGCCCAGTGCGCGATCACGTATCCCGGAAGCGTTTGCCTTAACCTTACTAAAAATCTTAGTCTAACTTTATACCCAGGTACATTACAAGTAAACTAGATGGCTTGGCCGGCCCTTGCATCGTTCTAAGGAAGGGAAGGGAGATGCCACCTTTCCACACGAGCAGTATCCCAGCGATAACCCGGGCCTAATTCTTCACAATTCGATGGGAGGTAGGGAAGTTCCAGTACTAATTCTAGTGCCACTCTCATGCACAATCTCGCACCACGCATGGCCTGAGATCGCCCTCTTCTCGGGTAACGCACCGAGGATGGATATAAGTCAGCGCTGTGAAAAAGATGCAAACAAAGCCGCCACTATGCGGGTGAATTGCCGTAAGCCCGTAGTGTTGCGCTGCCATGAAGGCACTTGTCGTACTTTGTTTCATATTGTGTGAGCGGAACACCTTTAGTGCCATGCAGTCACGGGTGCGGCAATGACTTTAAACTAAAAACTGCTCGAGACCAGACCGCGACACAACACTCTGGTAAACGGTGGTAGGGAAAGGCTATAGGAAGTAGGTCTTTCGTCTATAATTTGTGCAATAGATGTGTTCCCGTTGCCGTTTTCATTTTTACCGTAGCTTTAGCACACCGAAAATATTACATTAGCACCTATGCCTTCGCAACTCTTCACTCCGGTCTAACTACTTTGTCATAAAGGCATGTACGAGTACCAGTAGCTTAGCTCTTATACAGAACGATTCTCCGAGAAAACTGGCCGAAGAGCAAGTTTTGCACTCTATTCCCTCCGCCGGCCTGTAGGCATGGCCAGCAGGGATCGCCAGACCGCTCCTGCTATAAATATGGTGGGGGGCTCTATAGCCGGAGGATCAAACGAAGTACTCAAAGTAGGGCCGCGCTGGTTTTTCTCCATCTGTAAAAAAGGAAAGAAAAAAACTCTATCAAGTGATAGAGTAGGTTATTTTCTTCAAGCTGATAGAAAGAGATGCGAATATCTTTTGCGTTTGCGGAGTTACTGGAGTATCAAGGGGGTCACATCGCGGGCGGGAGCATCGAAATGTTCGGGGTATCGTAAGAGAAAGTTTAACGAGTGATACCTAGTGACAATTATACGAGACTATCGCCGTTTATTGTTACAAGGCGCCCTGAAAGCGATCAGCCAAGCACTCCAGAATTAAGAAGGGCCCAAGTGTTACCGCGACGGATCTGAGCAGGGCCTGCCCAGTGATCACCCCCCCCCCCCCCTTCCGAAGAGTGGTCAGGTACAGTACTCGAGTAACAAGGCAAAACCCAAAACCCAACCAGACCACCGGGTTTCTCACCCTACCCCATACTTAGAAGGAAGGTATTAGCGTGCACAAAAATTGCCACCCCTGCATGGCGGGCGCAGTATCGGGTTGTCAAAACAAGCACCCAGCACACCCTGCCCTAGGAAAGCGGGGAAGTTTCAACTGCCGGCGCTAGTTTGTATTACGCCCCCGGGAGGGTTGGCGTGACATAAGGTACCCTTCGGTGTTTCGGTTTTCATCGAGACCTATTGAACTCCGCTGTGATATGATAGCTTGAAAGGCACATTTCTTGGCATGATTCTTTTCCCCTGCCATTCAATAATCTGTACCCGAACTGTCGTTTGTGCCGAATGGGGACAATAGGCAAAACCCCCAAGTGCCGTGCCCAGCACAATATGATCCGTTGGACGGGTGCTATGCAAAGCCCCCTTTGATAGATGGCCGGTAGCACTATGCCACACACACGGGTAACTGCCGGTAATACATGAGAGAAAATTTGGCCTTGCGGTACGTGCAAGACCGTTGGAGGGAATATCGTTAAACAAGTATCATACCTGGTATCTATAGCCCCTGCACAGCACTACCCAGTACAGATCAAAGGGTAGATTACTGCACTTCATCTGGCTTTGAAAAATACAGAAGATGCCAACAATACGGAAACAAAAGCGACCCGGACACTTGCGGGATACAAGGTGCTTACACAGATGTGTGCTTATGCAGCAGTACTGTAGAGCTTCGCAAACGGGGTTCACAAAAATCTCCACCGTATTTGAGGGTAAACCAAATCGTGGTGTTACACTACCAGGTCCAAGGTGTTCACTTTCCTCGAGCAGTGTTTCCTCGATGTCCGTTGCCGGTACGGGATCAAACTCTAGATTCCAATTGTGCTCCGAACTTTTCGTTCCCCAAAATAGACCCCCTGGGATATTCCCATCTATTACTGATCTGCCCGGATACCCCATTAATTTAACCCAAAAAAATTATTCTTGTAATTCCTTTGATTCCACCCGACGAGACGGCCTCTAGGATCCCCCACGTGACAAGGTCCACAATCCCCCGTAAGGGATCAACGAAAGGAATATATGGCCACACTCCCCAGGGGCAGCTCACCTTTGAAATACTCTAAATCTGTTCTCTTCGGGTAGGGGAAGCAGAACCCTCCAATATATATCCCCCCAGAAGCAGGAACGAGCTGGAGACATGCCCTTCCCTGCTCTGTGGTCCCAACTGGAATCCGGATACATCTACGACGCAACCCCTAAGAGACCCGAACTACTTAACTATAGCTAGCCCCAGAAAGGGTTGGCGATTAGTGTTGAACATCATTTCTCGGAAGCACGCAAGAGAGCAGTGTACGAGGGAGTGCGCTACCACAAGTCCTTAAAGATAAACTCGAACTATCCCCCTACCAATACCACCCAAATAGGGACAGGGCCATGGCTTCCAAAACACCTTCTACTGGCTGTGACAGGGAGATCAAAGAATTACCAGACTGCAGGATTTATCAACCGTCTTCTACCGATGAGGAGAAAACAATCGATGACGAGGACGCTCTCGCCAAAGAGAGCTGGAACAATCCCTCAGTGAACAAATACCGACTCTGCTCATGTTTGTCCCTGTTTCTTGCCGGGGGTTTATTCTATTCTTCCTACGGTGTAGGTAAATCCCTCCCAGCCATAACAGTCGGTCAGTCCGCCCAAGTGCATCAAGCTAAAAGAACATCTTAGGTCCTAATCCCAGAGGTAAATAGTTTGCACCGCGGTTTTTTCAAAGCTAAACCAGAAACCCCCAGCTCGAAAGAGACTACAATAAATCGCATGCTTCAGTCTCCCTAATATTCATTGGGGACCTGGTCAGTTCCACCGTTGCAGCCGCTGTAACCAACATAACCCACCTGTCACTCGGGCGTCGTGGGGCCGGAGTTATAGGGGCCTTATGCCTGGGACTGGGTAGTCTTTTTTTAGCTCTGCATCTTCCATGGCCCGCCGTTCCGGTCATGATATGTTTGGTAGTTTATGGCGTCGCAGCTCTCGACTCGGCTGCTAGTGCCTGGATTGGGGGTCTCCACCATGCCAGCGGGTTTCTGGGGGTATTGCAAGGTTGCTTTGGTATCGGGTCTACCATTGCTCCATCAATTGCTCAGGCAGTGATTCAGCGCGGTATTCCGTACTACCGATTTTACTATCTTCCTGTTGGTCTACAAGGTGCTGTCATAAGTCGCGGCTAACTGGGGGAAGTTTGCACTCTCGATTCTTGGTGGTGTCGGATTCCTGATATCTTTCTGGGACGAGAACGGCGAGAAGTATACTCGGGATACCAGCAGGTCGCACAAGCCAGAAGAGACCCATGCAAAGGAGATTTTGAAGAACAAGGTACTTTGCCCAGGTTATACCCCGAAGCCATGGTTGTTGACAGGATAAGGTTTCTTGGATCCTGGCGATATCCGTCCTACTAAATTGGGGCGCTGACGGTGAATACACACATCGATCCATCTTGGCATAAACTCACTAACTGTTTCAAAAAGCGACAACCAGTAGTTGGATCGTGAGTATCTGCCTTAGAAAGCTGAAATTCCTCTCTGATTATCCAGATTATATATCTCACCGAGGGCCGCGGCGGCTCTTCTTCCAAGGCTAGTCTCGTTAATTCAATGTTCTGGTTCTCCTTCACCCTTGGTCGCTTCTTCCTAACATGGGTACTTGGTGCACTTCCCCCCAAATGGGGAGTGAAAGGCCCCGTGTCATTCGTCATCTGCCTATGCTTAATGTTGGAGCTCATGTTCTGGCTTCTCCCAACCTTTGTTGGATCTTCTGTTGCGTAGGTTCTACCTACACAGCCCGTTCTAACGAAACATTGACAATGCGCAGTGGTTGCCTACTCGGCTTCTTCTATGGGCCACTATACCCCCTGGTAACTTAAACCCTTGCTATTACAGCATAAAGAAACGGTTAACAATGCTAGATCCTAGGAACGCTGACTAAACTTTTACCGCGGCACTTGCACGTTTCCGCCATTGGGATCGGTAGCGCGTTCGGTGCTGTGGGGGTTTCTAGCTTTCCAATCGTCGCAGGTGCAATTGCTCAATACAAAGGGCATTCCCCCCCTCTTGTTTTGGCTGTAGACTTTTCATTCTAACAGAATAGTAGGATTGCTATGATCCACCCCCTTCTGCTCGGGTTATACACTGCACAATTGGTCCTGTGGCACTGTCTCCCGACGTTGCCGTCGGGGACTGTGGCCGGGCAGTAAGTATGGTTGGAGAAGGAAATTGAGCAATGATTGCTTCGGAATGACAAAGGTCATAGGATCCCTGTTTGGGCTGTAAGCTGTGTTTAATTGGGGCTGTTTGGGAAATAGCCTTTATCTCGGGAAATTGTTTCATTTTGTAGATCTACACTCGGCTTGAGATCTGTAATATAGAAAGAATCTCGATGGAAAATCTACACTCCTTTTCCCCCATACTAGCAAGGATAAGCGCAGAAGGGTGCCGCGGTTGCTGAAAGCGTCCCCTAATATACTCAGGCCGTATCTTAAGCCTGAGAAGTCACTGTTTCTGGATTTCTTTTCACTTTACAAAATGAGTGATGATCATGAACGAGTGAGATTGGATGACATCGCTTACCCCGGTTGCAGTAGCAACGGTTGCCAAGACCCGTAGTCCGCACAACAGCCGGAGCCTCACACACCAAACAGGGAAAGCACAACAACAGTTGCACTGCTTGATCAAATTCGTTTTACAAACATCCTTCCTTTCGTGGCCTGACAGTTAAGTGGGTCTTTTGTTTCTCTCCATAATTTATTCCCCTCCCCCCATCTCATTTCTTGCCCCCCCCCCCGTTTTATGGTAAACACCATTGAATACTCACAACATGCCTCTGCCAGTCCCGTCACCATCGCGGATGCCCAGACACTCCGGGAACCCCTCGCCCCCTGCAGTCACCATCCGCAGAGTCTCTCCGCCAACATCTCGTCCGGGCTCCTCGTCAACGTCGAAGATGATGCCGTTCTCGGCGTCCGGGAATCCACGACCCGTGAGCATGTTAAGCACCACGAGCGGGAGCGGGAGTGTGAATCTCGTTCCCGAAGTGATCGAGGATAGCTCGAGAATGCCTCCTCCCCCGGTACCTGGTAGTGGGAGAACAATGAGCATGAGAAGTAACATCAGCAACTCAAGCTCTGGGAGTAAAGGCAAGTCGAAGAAGTCCGATGAACCGAAGAAGCATAAGGGGCTTGGGAAGATGTTGAGTTTACGCTCTCACAACAAACCTGATTCTCCCGAGAAAAAGAAAGGGGACGAGTCGTCTAGTCGGCTGGGTAGGGCCATGTCCATGACGTTCCGGTCCTCTAAGGGAGGTGACCCGGAGAAGGAGAAGGACAAGGAGAAAAAGTCGGCGGAGTCAAAGGGGCTATTGGGGAGGACTATGAGCCTGAGAACACACAAATCCGGTATTGTAAGTGGTGCGAAGACTGATCCTTCTACCACCGCTCCGAACGGACTTGCAAAGGCTGGGAGGCTACGCCCGAATTCGATCTATGGTGGCAGTACGAGCTCTCTACCGAAACTCGGGGCTGAGCCCATCAGTTCCGCAACCGCATCTGTGGCTCGCAGGCCGACCGCTGGCTCCATCCCAGCACCTCCCGTGAAAGCTCATAGAAGAAGTGCATCCACCGTGTCTACCGCATCTATAACACCTAGCAGCAACTCTCGCCCCGGAACAGCAACAAAGAATACCACCCCTCCAGCTGGTAACAACAAACGCCCCCCCTTCAGCTCATTCAGCCAGGAATATCCTCAACCCGCACCCTCTGGCCCATCCCCCCGGTCAAAAATCCTCCCACCGCCCCCGCTAGACACTCAAACCATCCACCAACAAACGCAACTCCTCCAACTCCTAACCCTTCACTCCTCATCGGGTCAGGTATACCAAGAACTCATAGCCTCGGCAACCACAACCCTAAAATCCCGCTTTGAGAAACTCTCAGCCAGACATTACGACGTCCGCGAAACTAGCATCAAAAGGCAGAACCGCGCAAACTTGGACTCCCTAGCCCTTGTCGTAAACACCGGTCCCACCATCCCGACGAAGCGCCGCCAGACAATAAGGTCACCGGAAGAGCTCGTTCAGGCATTCTCTGAGGGCATCAAACGCACGGACGCCCTAAAAACCGGTGAGTTCCGTAAACTGTCCACCACCTTTGGCGAGTGGATTAGTGGGTACAACTCCGCTGCCACCGGTAGGGAAAAGTGGGTCGACGGGATTGGAGAGAATTGGCGGTACGATTGCGACACCGTCGAGAGGAAATTGCAATCCGCCGTGAAGGGCATCGAGGGCGTTCGAGAGCTATTTGGAACGTTGGGGGATGACGATGCAGTCAAGACTACCGTGCAAAGGGTTGCGGAAGGGTATGAATTGCTTGCGGGGGGAATGTTGGAGGAAGTCGAGATGATGCGGAAGATGGAGTGCGAGGTTGTCATGAAGGAGCGGAGGACACTTCGAGCCCGGGTGGAGAATATCATGGTGGGCGAGGTTAAAGCCAGGGAAGTAGGTGTTTGGGCCAGGTAGGGTATAGTAGTTCTTCCGACATCTTGCAGCGGTAGGGCTGGTGGTGGTCTTTTTTTCTTTCTTTTTTTCCCCCTTCCTCCTTCGCTTTACTTCAATTCACTTCTTAGTCGTCGCTGTTACGAGTGCAATACTGGAGCCATGATTTAATGCCCCGATGTTCTTTTCCAAAATCTTTTTTTCTCTTACCTTTTTCCTATCGTTCCTTTGGGGGTGGAGGGTGAGGAAGGTGGATGTGGATATGTTCTTAACCTTCCTTTGTATCACGAGCACATGTATGTTATCGGCTAGTTTGGTCAGCTAGCTAAATTAGCTATGATGAGCTCAGGATATGGTTTGATGATTGGGATGGACCTGCGAGTGGGGTTTGAAGGTGCGATACATTGAAAGTAGTGAAGGTATGATGGGGTTTGCGATACCTGCAACGAAAAGAGGAGGAAGGAACGTTCTTATCCGCATCTGTACAAGTAAAGCTCGTAGTAGAAGATTAGGACCCCAGTCCAGCCTAGTGCCGTGCTCACTCCGATACGGGGGAACTGTGGATTGGCCAACACTATGCCAAGCTGCCCCCCCTGGTGTAGGACAGCAACCCAACTCATTTATTTGTATCGATAGAGCCGGATTGAGAGAGCCACCCATTTAAGTAAACTCTCATTCCTTAGATACCCCGGGTCAGAAACGTTTATTCGGCGGGTCACCATCAGACTCGTGATATCCTCTTCAAGCCAAGTATCCTTCCCGCACCCTAGCCAAACCCCTCCAGAATTCGGCGCACTAAGGAAGGGATGAAGGATCGGGTTGCAGCATGCTTGTTTGTGTTATCGACTGCTGTATCTGCAGGAGTCGCCATTACGGGGTACTTGTATAATCAAAGTATGGTATTGTATCTATTCAAGCACTTAGAACTTATAGTGCGGCGCGGTGTGGGACCTCAGCGGCTGATAAATTAACTAACGACAAGAGTAGAAGGTGATGGGAATTACTACGTACCAGTAACAGAAGAGAAGCGGTAACTGGGTTTTACTCGAGCACGGTACCGGTAGTTAAGTGAGTGCAAGCATGACACGCAGGAGTCGTGAATCTGAACCGGTGTGAGCGCTAGGGCGCAAGTACTTGTACTCTACACATGGGTTTTTATTGATTGCCATGTACCGGTACGGCATTTCGTGAATCCCAGTTTCTGGGCAATCGGCGGGAGTATCATGTCATACCAGCCCACTCGCCCCTAGGTGTCCCACAATATCTTTGGCAACTTCCTTGGTGTGTGCGTGTGGCCGTACTGGGTTGGTCGTACCATATTATACTCGTATAATAAGTCCCGTATATACTCGAGCACAGTGCGATACTGGGTTCCGAGCATATTTTACCTGTCCAAAAATTTAGGGCACGGCACAATCTTAATAACCATGTACAAGAATATGACCCAGTATCAAGGGTATATAATGGGTATGCTGGGTGAGGAGGATGGTTGTATAAATATTATGTGTTTGTACTGGGGTGCTAGTCATGCTTCTAGGTACAATAGAAGTAGCGTACAAGATGATCTAGAACCTGTTGTTAAGAATCCTACCGGGCACTAAGGTACGACAGGTAACAATTCTTAATTCTTAGCAAGGTAATAGTCATTAGGCCGATGCCTACGCAATACTGATAGTTAAGTCCTCTTGACCTCTATCTTATCGCGCCTATTCCCCTAATCTTCTTAAGTCCTCACTGGCACTTAGGACTTATTTGTTCGATGTGGGAGGAGAGACAGTCTTCTCTCTTGGGAGGAAAGACAATATTCCAGTTTCTTAAGGAAATAAACATGAAGAACATGTGAAGAACTAATACTAGGAGTCCTAGTGACCCTTTATATAGTAGCTCTTCACCTGGCGTGACTCATACTTTTGCATCACTCAAACCCTTTGACTCATAACTATGAGTCATGTGAAACCCATCAGCTGACTCCTATGAGTCGCTGTGCAACATACCTAAAACCAATCCAAACATAATAACCAAGTCAGGTGCACAATTCACATCACATGAGTGAAACCCATGACACATAATTTGAGTCACGTGCGAAAATCATATCATCATATGACTCACAACTGTGAGTCACGAACAGGTAAACGTAATAACCTATGGCGCAGTAGTATGCATCATGTGAAATCCCAACATACCTATAGCTCAGAATCCCGAGCTATGTGAAATCTGCCTTGCTTAGTCACAGTTTGTGACACTAAGTAGAACTTGAGTATAAATTCAGGTCTCTTTAAATAGTAATTACATAGACTTGTTAAGGTTGTAGTACTATAACTAATTGACTAAATCAAACTAAGTTTTATCCTATAGAATAGAACTCCTTTTATATTATTCAACAAAAAACTTCTTAGTCACAACTCATGTATCTCTGTGGAGAGGATTCAAGTTGTAAAGATATCTCATTATTTTATGCAATAATAACATACTATCACAACAACTACAAATATGATACTTTGCTCTTTGAAATACAATTGACCTACTCCCTTTAGTAGTCTAATACGTGTTCTAGTAAACACTTCTCTCTACCCTCAAAACATTTCTATCTTTGAATACCACTACCATCCACCGTACCATACTCGCAGGTCACACTCTAACTTATTCATGATACTAGGCGTCCCGGAAAGAGTTTATAGAATTATATACCGTAAAAACTGGAATAATTCGACCTCACACTAAGTTGTCCAGAATTTCCTCCCTTGTATTAGGTGTCAAAAACACAGCGAAAAAAATGACATTCAGCTGAGACAAATAAAAGTAATATACGACCAACCATACTACGAGCGGTAACTTCAATGTCCTAGCGTGATGTGCGATTATTCCAGTCTTTAAGGTATTCACATTGTTATCACACAACTACAACTATTGTATGATACTAGAGCAGGTTACTAGTATACTACTATTTCTCAATCCATATATGGAACGCCATCCCCCAGCCTTATTCGGCTGGTACTCGAGTAAAGTACTTGTAACCTGGCTCTACCTAACAATCAACTAAACACAGGAACCTTTATATCTTACGCGTATCACACCATTAACTTATCATACCCTTCCCAACAAGTCATACCCCATCCACGCCTGGACAAGCCATCACTCTCCTCCTCCCCTATCCAATCCGCCTGAGTGCTGCTGTTCTCCCGTAGATGTAGATCTCCGACCTCCTTCACCCCTAGAACCCGTCCTCGATACCCTACCCTACCCTACCCCTTGCCCCTGGATCCCTGTGCCACGGTACTTACTTAGTCAGTGAGAAAATACCCCAATTAGGATAACCACCGACGGAAACGAGTTAGACAGAACCAAGGAAGGAGCCACCATCGGATATCTTACCCTATTCTCTAAATGATACCGGAAACGGTATCATATTATGATACAAGTTACGAGCGTGCACAAGGCAAACCTCCAGGTGAACGGGACAGCCTACCTATCATCCCGACAACTCTCCAATCTACCGGAGCCTACAATTTACGGTACCGGTAGGTATTTATTATATTTTGTTTTCCCCTGTGCTCTCAATTTAACAGAGCGCGGTAGTGTATCCTTGCGTTTGGTAGGCCGGTGGTTATTCCAGTCTTCCCTTTTGTTTTTTTCCGCTGATCTGTGCTAGCACAGTACTCGTGCAGTGCAGTTCTGTACTCGAGTGCACTAACGATACAAGGTTCAGACATAAAATATTAATACCGGAGCGGCAGGATACGGAGCTGGATCGTCGACCCGAATCCCTGCCAAAGTTGGTGGAAGGCCGGAGTACTGTACAGTACCCAACTCTACTCGGGTACCGCACTCTATAATACAACCAGCGCACCGAAAACTTGACCTTAGACCCAGATATCATCCCTTTGATAGATGTATTGAACGGACACGGCACCCGCTCGATCCGTCAATTATATCTGTTCAAAGTCGACGCAGAGGAAGAGAGGATATAGTATTCCTTCGTCGCCATGTTTCTGGGTGTACCGTATTGTTTACGGTACCGCCCCTGCTGCTAAAATTTTCGTGATGCATCGCACCGCTGTTTATGCCGGATCCTTGTCCTGCACTGTACTGTACTAGTACTCGTACAAGTACTCGTACCGCCAACCTTTGCAGCGATACGATAAATGTGAGAAGGGGGATGGCGATGGCGATGGAGGTTCGGGCGGGGGGGGGTGATCTTTTCCTTTCTGCTCTGCCTGCTTCCTTGTCGATACTCCGTTCGGTCTGCACGAGTATGTACTCGAGTACTGTACTGTACCGGTACTCGAGTACAGTACGGTATGTTAGGCCCCACCAACTCATATCCATTCGCTTAGACTATCCTAGCTCGCCAAGTAACCTACCCCACCGTACAAGTTCCAGGACAGTACAGGTACGAGTATCAGCATCCCTTGGACTGCGAAGCCAACTCCGTTGCAATGTATAAGAGCACGGCAGCATCGCTGACGTGACATAGTAGCTTATTGGTCGGCTCTATCCCGACCTCCATGCTGCCCGACGGACATTCTTGCCCAAAACCCATCACCACTCACGAACTGGGAGCACAATTATTATTATTTTTCTCGGCGTAACATCCATTTAATTTCACCCGTTAAACCACAAGTTAATGAGAGTAATAAATAAATAATAGGAAAAAGCCACCACTTGTCCATTAACATTAAATCCTCCCATGCCTAATCTTATGCCAATATCATTCCATACCCAACCAACCAACTCAAACCCGGTTATATTCATCAATTAGTTTAAACTAGACACCCCCCCCCCCTGCCTGCCTCCCTTGGGTGTTTATAGCGGGGGAGCTTCGGGGTCCTCGAGACCTATTCAATTCATTAGCACTCCTCATCGCGAAAGCTTCAAGGTTAGGGGGGGGGCAAACATTGATCAATCCTCATGATATTCTTCCCAGTCTTCTTAGCAAGCTGAATGAATCCCCTGAACTGATCTACGGTAGACTGGTAGAGATAATGCGAAACGAACAGGTTTCCACCCTCGCCGAGGTCCCGGATAACGGCCTCGGTTTGCTTCTCTGGTGTGGCCGACTGGCCCCAGAGCCAGTCCTCGATGTCCACGGACCAGTTGATGACCTTTGCCCCTGGGACGTTGACTTCTAAGCGTTGGCGGGTGAGGGCTCCGTCGGTGCCGTAGGGGGCACGGAAGTACCTGTCGTACCATATTAGTGATGCGGGGGGCAGAGAAGGCCAGGAGAGAGGGGGAGGTACTTTGAATCGACATTGAGGTTCTTCAAAGTGGATTCCCGGCTTAGTCTAAATTCATTATCGATCGCGGTGAGGTCCCGAAGGCCTTCGATCTTGGGGTGGGTGTAGGAGTGTAGAGCAATCTGGATGGCCGGTATATGTAAGTATCTTGTTCTCTAGGTAGAAGCGAGGGAGGGAACAAACCTGATGACCCTTTCCAATAGCCTCTTTATAAAATGCTGTGAAGTTCTGCGCAGGATCGTCCAAAGCTTGACCAACAGTGAAAAAAGTAACCTTGATGGCCTCC